CATCCGTGTTTGGCACGCACGCCAGGCTTTGATAGTTTGCACAGTTCCATGAGCTTATTGGGCGCAGAAAACACTACCTTTACATTTGATCGCATGGCTATTTTCTTTAGATTGTGCGACACTCGGTGTACATACGGAATCACAACAACTTTTCCTTTTTGTCTTACCGGCTGGCTCTCATTGTTTTCTACGAGACAGCGCTTTCTTAGAAGGCCTTCCGCGACCGCAACAAGAATGTGTTTTGGATACCCAGCTGCGAGCAAGCGCAAAACTTGCTGATTAAAACCCTGGGGGATCAAATGCTCACAGGACTTTTTTAGTACATTGGTGAAACACAGGTTAACAATACTCCTTTTGACTAGCTTCGAGTGGGCTGAATGAAAGGGAAGTAACGGCTTATTCGCACGTGGCTCATAGCACCAACAGATGTGGTCGTTGAGAAATAAAAATCTGATGTCAAGGAAGCGAATAGCGTTGTCCACAGGTATCTCATGCGTGACCTCGAGTGGGCCAAAACATTCCTTAAAAGTGGTCAGGGTTTTGACAGCCTCTGCTTCAAAAGCGTTTGTGTCAGATGCGATGAAAACTAAAAAATCATCTACGTACCTAAAAACTTTTTTTACCTTTGATCCCTGGAGCCGGCTGTTAAGAGTACTGTCAAGTTGTGCTAAATATATATCGCTTAGAACAGGCGCGATACACGAGCCGATGCATATGCCCTGTTTTTGCAAGTAAGGCTTGCCTCCCCACTGAATAAAAGTTGTAGTTGTTCGAAGATAGAAACTAAGTAATTCTAAAAAACCGCTGCTTGATATCCCTAGCTCATTTTGAAAGGCTACCACTCCAAACTTGTCGATGCACTCCTCCACACACAACAGCAAGCCGGAATGTGGGAGGGAGTAATAAAGGTCTTTCACATCGACCGAAAACGCCCTCAGAGCGTTTCCTTTTTGAGTTCTTACGAAGTCTAGCACTTCTTCTGAGCTTCTGACGAGAAAAGGGTCGTCAACGTGTAGCATGTTAAGTTTCTCTTGAAGATATAGTGCGATTGATTTTTGCCACGTGCCTCTTTCGGAAATTATTACGCGTAAGGGCATTTCTAGTTTGTGGGTTTTGGCACTGAAGAAAACATCTAAACACTCGCGCGTACTCTTTTCAATGCTCCTTACAACACTACCGAGTTCAAGTTCCTTGCACAGATTTCTGGCTTCTGACTTTAGTTTTGGCAGCGACACACTTCTATGGCAATTAAACACCTTCTCAACAGCTTCCAGGGCTTTCTCATTGTACATACCATGTGAAAGAACCGCAAAGCCTCCCTCCTTATCAGCAGGTAAGACGCAAAGGGAATTGTCTTTCAGGTATGTCAGCGCCCGCTTTACGGGTACCTTGGTAGCAGCCGGCTTGCAGGAACGGACGACGTCAACACCCTCAGACACGCAGCGGGCAGAGTCCTGTTCAGGGACGCGCCTCGACACCTCTCGAACCAGAGACAGCAGCTCGGGTGGCGACTTTTTTGGCTCGACAGCAAACTTGGGTCCAAGACGTAGAACTTGCTGGACGTCTTCTGGTAGATGGAGTCCCTCGGGCATGTGAAGCGCAGTCGACTGTGCAGGAGGCTTTTTCGGCAGACGCTCACGAAGCTATGCCGTCGATCGCATTATCGGAGAAGGAATTGTTTTTCCTGAGAACGAGATAGTGTTGTTTCCCAGTTATGCTCTGTCATGGTGTTTATTTTTCCTTTACGACGATGGTTGAGACTATATATATACCGGAACACGTTTTCAATAAAATTCAGTTGAAAGTTGCGCCTTGTTGTGTCCTCTTCTCTCCTTTTGTCCTCGTCTTTGTTGCGCACAAGATTGTATAAGAGACGTTCCAGTCGTTGCAACTCTTCAGACACCTGTTCGCCCAACGTAATGGGCAATCTACGTAGCTTCGAGGCAACTGGTTTCACCGTCGTACGAACCTTGACTTGATGGACGAAGCCTTTGGCCAGAGCAAGCTCGCCCGAAAAAAAGATGTGAGAATCTACCACGTAGATTCACTGGTAGCACGACAGCTTGCAGAGTGCGCGTCAGCTTGTAGACAGCTGAGCGTGTCGCCGTGGATGTTAAGTTGCAGGTTCTGAATGGCATCCAATCCAAGAAGTGACTTTCCACGCTGTACAACATGTAACAAAACGTACGTCCGTGTGTGTTTGTAGGCCACCTCAGCTAAAAACAGCCTTTAGCTGGGATGCGCTTCTTAAAGTAATTCAGCAGCGTCACCGTAGCGTCAGTCAGCGAGCGGCCAGCGAAGTGCTTGCGGAAATATCTTCACTAAGAAGTGAAACAGACGAGCCGGTGTCGACCAGAAACGGCAACATTACGTTGTCAACGTCGATGTCAACGTAGATCCCTTTTCCTCGCATGTTGTCAGGGTTCAGGTTCAAAATCGTGACAGAGTTCGTGGTCGCCGACCATTCGTTCGCTGCATGATATTTCTGCCGACCTTCGTACCTCAGCTTCGACTTGCACACCGCAGCAAATTGCCCTCTTTTGTTGCAGTTGCGACTAGTATTGTCTCCGGCCGGGCATTTCTTCGCATTCGTGCGGTGCGCAGTCGAACTGCAATGGTTCGACTGCGCACTGAGCTCCTTCAGCTCTCGCTGCGTCTGTTCGATGTGCCTGCCGAGGATGACCACGCGGTTTAGTGTCAGACTCGTTCTTTCGAAAAGCAATCGCTCGCGTATCTGTTGCGACGCTGCCCCCTCCAACAGCTGATTCCGTAAAGTCTTGTCAGCCGAACTCTCCAAAGCTGCAGTCCGACGACAACTCACGGAGGGCTGCGGCGTAGACTTTGAAGGCTTCAGCTGGCATTTCACGGCGCTGACGAAGACGATGTCTCTCCACCAGTTCGTTCGTCGTAGTCGAGAAGTGGTTGTCCAGCAGAGCCAGTGCTTCGTTGAATGCGTTCTTTTCGTCAGCCCTTTAGTGACTCCTTCCTTTTCTTTTTCTTTGATGGCCGATGCCGGAGTGGTCGGTGCTACACTTTTCTAGTTCTGCTGTCCTTCCAGGCCCAGCGCATTGAGCAGAATAGCCTTCCAGCGTTTTGGAGTAAAGTCATCGCCGCCAACAGCTTCCAAGTAATTGAGGCAGGCTAACCTTCACTGCCGCCATGGCACGCAGGCTGGCCCCGGCGTAGCGAGGAACGAGGCTGGTGACGGACTGTAATTGAACATGGCATCCGTTCACCGGCAGAGATCACAGAAGGCAATAGCAGGCCCGACAGGGTTCCTCAATGGTCTTCACTCGTCGACATTATGTGGTGTCCTGAGGACACTAAGAAAGGGCCGACCAATCCGCTCGAACTTTGAACGAAAAGTGTTTTTTTTTTATGTCAGTGCTTCGTTGCCAGGTGACGTTATGATACATACAGCGTTTCCAACATAAAAACACCCCCCCCCCCCCCTGGCTAGTGCCAGACGTAAAGGCTATTGTGGTCCGCAAAGAATAGTGTGGAAGATCTCCCCTTGCACGAGCTCAGGAGCTCGTGGGTGCACCAAATTAATCTTGTACGAAATGTCTGGCCATTAGATGACACTGGCATAGAACGTCCTAGTAAGAAATATCTTGGACTGAAATAACTTTGGTATGAAATGTCTGGGATTAACTGCACTGGAATGAAGTATCCTTAAACGAAGTATCTCTACTTGTACGAGCTCAGCAACTCGTGAGTGCCCCAAAGTAATGTGGCATGAAAAGTCTGGGTATTAGATGCCACTTGCATAGAACTTCACGGTAGAAATGTTTTGGGACGAAATACTTTTGGTATGAAGTGTTTGGTATTAACTGTCCTGGAATGAAGTATCCTAATATGAAGTGTGACAGGGTCAATCCAAAGTATGAATCATCCTGGTATGTAACGTCCATGGGATCAAACGCCTAGGGATGAAACCTCTTGGAACGAAACGACTTTGGGCTAAAGTGTCTGTGATGAAATGTCTCGGTATGTAATATCTTGGGATGAAGTGAGTGGACCCTATGTGATCATATTGAATGTAAGTAATATTGATGATATATAGTATAGGGTGGGTATCGATTCCGAAGTTAAATCTCAAATCGGCCAAAAGTGCAGTACCTGCGCGTAACCATTTGCAGTTTTCATCAAAGATGAATTTGGGCGGTTCAGTTTGACTTGGAAAATTTCAAGGCGTAACTTCCTTACAGTGAAAACTGAGACCGATATCCTTGCCATGGTCGACGGCGGACGACGATGCAAACGGCCGAGTTAGGAAGGGTGGTGACTTCGGCGGAATTTCTCGGTAGGTGCAGCGAACAGACGACACAGTCGTCTGCTTGTTGCACCTATCGGGAGATGGCGCCACAAGCATAGTCCTTTCAAACTCGGTCGTGTACGCCGTCGTGCACTGTTCACCGTGGCAAACGTGTTGGCTACAAATTTTTAAAAAAAATTTAGAGGAGGCTCCGCCATGAAATTTGCAGTGGTGAAATGCACCATTGAAAGACACATCTTATGGTAATTGAAGAAGGCTATGGTAAAGTGCAGATTTTTTTCAACCGATATTGCAGCGAGCCTCAGAACTAATACATACGGATTATTTTAGTTATTTATACCTTGATAGGAATGGTCACATAAAAGTTTTAACTGCATAAATACTACCAAAAACACTAAAGAACGAAAACATTACACTTAAGAACAATATAGCCATGTATAAAAGTAAACAAAAGTTATAGATTCAATGGAATCCCCCAGGAAAACGTTACCACCTATTAATGGTGTGGGTGATTTATGTGGAATATGTCGTCTCTAAATAATACAAATCTCGCTACCACTTATGAGGCTAACAAAACGCTTGTGTGGGCGAGATCGACTCTAGTTGGATCCGGACCTTTATTGGATTAACCACAAGCTCAGTACCAATATACGATAATAATGAAGGATGACTAGTTTTGATAGAAGCGGCTATCGATTCTGACAACGAATGCTATTCGCAGTACTGACTGTCCGGCACGCCGTGCCTATAATCATGGGCGCCAACGTTGGAACCTCGGTAACCAACACCATGGTTTCGCTGATGCACATCAAGCGCCGGGAGGAGTTTCGCCGAGGATTTGCCGCTGCTACTATCCACGACGTCTTCAACTGGCTCAATGTCATACTTCTGCTTCCCTGTGAGGTCGCTTTCCGTAAGTCATTGCCGCACATTCCAGACAATGGAAATGGTTAACCTTTCACCTGATGACTATACCAACTTACTGTTCTCAAACAATAGGGTTTGATCCCTGTGAGCGCTGCTTCTGCGTAGGAACTTCCTGTTCAGAAAGCAAAGCGTATGCGCTGTTGCGTGGCAAGGTTAGCGCCGCTGCTCTGGCATGACGTTAATTTACAAAGGTGTTTGCACCTAAAGCTAATTTATACAACCTACACTCAGCCGAAATCAAATTCAAAAGGTTCGGCCATAATTATCCATTCATCTGCTCACAGCAACGTCTGAAGATTCACTCGATAAGTAGATTTAGATGACGAATCGGTCGTTGGAACGTTTAATAAATGGTATGAAATAATCACACCATGGCGGAATGCCCAAAACCATTGGGTTGTTTTAGTACTATACTGCCGCGAGTCACACGCCACGTAAGAGCACAAACATTTCAACGCATAAAATACTGAACAAATAAAGAGATAAATCAAGGGGTAAAACTAAACATAATCCTCAAGAATAGATGGAAGTAGAGCATACCTATAAGCTATTTATTTTATAAGCAACACAATTTACAACATATTGTGAAATTTAAGAGTAAATAGGAAGTGGTTTGCACTCTGAACTGCATATAAATAAAATTGAGTACGTGGGTCTTCTCAACTGTAATCCACGGAGTGCAAAAGATTACTTTTTGACTCATTAATCCTTGAAACCTCCGTAAAGAGTGTGACCTATAAAATAACTACGTTAAGTCTTATACTCATGTTTTATTGCCATTGATTTCTGCCGGATTATGTTTTATAGTACCCCTTAATTTGCGTAGCATTTTAAGCCTTCGATTTGTTGTGGTGTTGCATGGTGCGTGACTCATGGCTGTATAGTAGCAAAGAACCTAATATAAGAAACGTAATTTCTGTTATAACATATTTTTGATTAAATTTAAAGATAATTACGAACATGAGGTAACTAACTTTATCCACGCTATATTGTTGGCCAGAATAGCACCCACACGAGGGCGCATTCACACCGGCCACCTGACAAGGTTGAATCTTCATTCACGAATATACAAACATATTATTATATCTTCTGTTTACCTTGATGTGCCTGTATTAAATAGGCAAAAAAAAGTATTTTGGATTCCGAGTTTGGTAGCTTTTTTTTTTTTTTTGCTTTTTCAGAAGATTTGTTTATTCAAGCGTTTCACACCGTTTCACATTTTTCATTTTGTAGAAATTACTTTAAAATATTTTTTCTTCACTCGATTAGGCCTAATCATTACTATTCCGACAGTCTCACAGAAGAGCCCTAGTGCAGAAATTGGAGAGGTGACGAAAGTGCAAGCCCTCAAACAAGCGATCTCCGACAGGTGACACAAAACGTCAGCTTTTGTCCCGGTGGCTTCAATGGGCAATAATTGAAAAACGAAACTTCCGACAGTCTTGCCGTTTGCACTGAGTTTCAAATCATGAATGCTCCAAAAACAAACTTTTGGTAAAGATTAGATCTCAGTGACAGCGTTTTGAGTTTAAATGAAAGCGCCCATCTGTATAACTGAAAAGTACGTTCAGCTAAAAACGACAAGCTCAGTGGTATACTTTTTGGTGGGTGCGGAAGGGGGGGAAGGGGGGGGGGGGGATCACGCAAACTTTATACTCCATCACTGGAGTCAATCGGTTCAACTGAGTAGGTGACTAAATGCTCCCATCCGGCAAATCCGTACCCAACTCTTCCACATGCTCCCAAACTAAGAACCCCTGTAAAGGAAAACATGTGTTCGTTAATTGTCAAGTACGTTTTCACAAATCACGGTGGTCGGATCGATATTTTCGTAAAATTTTGTTTGCTTTTCTTTTCTTTTTTTTTTGTTATTTTACGGGGCATTGAAGTTCCTTCATTTCGCAGACTTGCTGGAGTCGATTTCCGGAGAGTTCGTCGTAATCGTCGACAAGGGGCAGAACATGAAGAAAGCGGAGTACCTCTCCGCCGTCACCAAACCGATTGTGAAGCTCATTGTGCAGGTGAGCTTTCGTCCAACTTTTCTTATACGGTGAGAAACTGAGGGAAACGAGGAGATGAGAACGCTCGGTGACGTCAGAGCTCCTGACTCCTCTGATTGGAATTATAGTGAGTACACGCCAAGGCTATGGCTCCGTTTGTCTCTATTCTCTGCTCGAATCCGTTCGAGCGCGAGATATTGCGCGAGGAGCAGACGACGTTCTTCTTCTCGCTGATTGGGGAAAGACAGTGTCTAGAGACAAAGGCCGCTAGCTTTGCGTCTGCTTTACTTTCTAAGCGCAGATAAAGTACTACTTTATCCAAGGTTTAGAAGATGTGTACTTGACTTGATGTACACTCTCTGAGTATGCAGGTGTGCTTCGCTTGAAGTGTTTTTGGGGCACTTTCCGAAGAAAGTGCAACTCTCGACTTCACAGTACATTCCCTGAATTTGGTCATGTTAAAATGGTATCACAAATTATGCTTTGTCTATGTGAAAGAATACCGCTAGGGATATTCTTCTCGCACCAGAAACACGAGCACACGACGCATCGCTCCGTTTGTACAGGGGGCGTCTTTCCCGCAGCATTTCTAACTCTCGCTACTTTCTCACTCGGTCGGCGCGAGCTAGGGTATTAAAAAGATTGCAGGAGAACATTCCTCCATCAGGGATTGCTTGCTGAAACTACGGGCCTGACGTCTGCCCTCTCCTATCCAACGTTATCCAGTCCGCCAATTCCAGAAATAGCTGATGCGCCCCCGATTACCTCCTGGCGCAATGCATACCAGCTTTTAAACTGGCATGCGTTGAAAGGGCATCGTAAAATATGTCGTTAAAGAGTTCTCGCAGTTTACTTTGGAAGTGCATTGCATTCACAGAATTTTACTTTAAGTACATTTCACCCGGTGTACATACTACTTTACTTAAAGTATATGACCTCTCATTTACTTTCACCATTACTTCAAGTACATTTTAGATATGCTTTACCCAACGATCTTTGCAGAGAAAGCTCGGCAATCGGACGTCACAGCGCGCTCTCATTTCCTCCTCTCTCTCAGTTTCTCTCCGTAAAGTTGCTGACAAGGTAAAAAAGGCAGTGCGTTTCTTCGCTGCCTTGCACCGTGCTTTCGCTACCTGTGCACGCTTGAAACTCACGAGGCGTAGAAGCGTTGTCAAAAGGTAGAAAGCTCACGCTAGAGGCGGGGCGAAGGAAACTCCTCCCTGTTATTCCCATCCTGTAGGGGACTATAAAATTACCCTGTCGGTAGCTGAGCCGGTGAAGTACGTAAATGAAATCTTCAGCATGAACATTGACAACTTTTCCAGAGATGTGCCGAGGGAATTATAATTGTTGCATCGCACTTTATTTCCAGTTGGACAAAGATGTACTGAAGGACATAGTCCTGGGCCATCCGACCAATAGCTCCCTTCTGAAGGAATGTTGTAAAAAGGAAGGTGACGAATGCATCAAAAGATGTAAGTAGACATGCAAATTGGTGACTCGACGGTTCGCCATTTTCGGAGACTGTTCCAGATATCCATGAGATTCGATGTACTACATCGGAGGAGGGGTGGAATAGTGTTTGGTCGCATTTTCATAGGATTTGGACACTTAATTATGTTGAGTGTCTGTTTAAACAGCCGGAACTTAGTGAGCAGTGTGCGTCCAGTGTGTCAGCTGTAGATGTGAAAATTAGCTAGTGTAGTACCCCTACAAGCGTGGGGTCTTTAACGTGCATCACGCACTAGTGAAACAAGACATTTGACTCATCCAGATCGAAACTGGCAGAGGTGGGGATTGAACTATAGGTTACTGGGTTCTGCAGCGCGAGCTCCATGGTGCTGCGGGCCCTCCAAACGGCGGAGCCCACAGATCCCCCAAATTAATTTAGATACTGGTTGACAATGCTATAATAGAAAAACTCAAAAGCGCTCGATAATAGTTTAATGCGTACGAAACAAGCTGAGAACTACGCAGAATATAGTTAACTTAATAAAATTGTGGGAGGACAAAACTATGCTGACTAAATGAGCTAAATTCTCATACACACATTTCCGTTCGAGCGCGGTACGTTGAGTTGCAGAGAGATTGATACAGAAAGTTGAGGAGCGTGTTTGCTCAATGGTTGTATACGTAGTTTCTTCGAAATGAAGTCGACTGCAATCAAGAGCCAATAAGAACACACTATCGGCTTTTTGGGGTTCACTAATCGTAAGCGAAATCCACGGCGAAAATGGCGGTACCCGGAAACGGCGTCTACATGACCGGGCTTAAAGGTCGACGACCAGTTCGCGCTCTCCACTTTTTCCTCGCTTCCTCCTCTCTCCCTTCTACCCTGTCCACCGCTGCCTGTTTCCTCCTCCCCCATGGTGAGGAGGATCTTCTGCCTTGCAGAACCTCGAGTCTGGTCGTCAGCTTTAAAAGCAATCCTGCTGTCTTTCGCGACTTTTGTTAGCTCAAATCCTCGCCAGTCATGGGGAAAAGAATTAAAAAAAGGCTCGAGTTACACCTAAGCACTTCTTACGAGTTGTGAATGCGAAACCACGCACGCCGCTCTTCGCTTCCTTCTTTCGTCAGCGGCGTACAGCGTGCCGGCGCGCTGACCTTGGGCGTGGAACGGTGGAGCCGCTGCCTTGCAGACACGCAACGCCATCGGGTGAGCGATCATTCAAACTGAAGCGCAGCGGCCAATGGGAGCCTCGTCGACGCGCGCTAGCCAATGGGGACCGAAGCCGAGATTCTATCAGCGTTCCTTCGCTCCTTTCGGATCGGGGAAGCTAGGTGCCGTGTCCAGGCTTTTCGCATGGTTTCATAGCTGGGAGCTGGCTAAACTTGGAGAAAGGATTTAAGGTGCCGTTCTCTGGATTTAGACTGATGATGTCGGCTCGCTCCACGAAACAGTTAATGCTTTCGCATTAAAAAAATACAAAAAAAAAACTGATCGTGGGTTTATACCACTCCCTAACCAGCAAAGCAAAATACCGTCACCCGATGGGCAAATGATGCGCGACGCCAATGAGTATGGTCAAGCACCCCCCCCCCCCCCCCCCCCCCTTCCCGAGCCTTCCCTTTCTTTCCTCGGCTTCTGATTGGTATGCCGCACCACTTCGTCAGCGTTGCCGCGCTCGAAAGTGTAACTCGATAAACTTCTTTTTTTTTTGCACGTTGCGAGAGCACTGCGCGACGGTGAGCGTTGTTCCTCAGGCGACTGCTACCTATGGCAGAAACGCCGTTTCGCGCTCAAACGCAGTCAAACGCAAATCTGTGTCGCGCCTTAAGTACTTCCTCTATGTTTGATTTCAATAAGGAGCTGCCTTAGACCATGTTTCACCATCAGCTATGCTCCGCGCAACGAAAAAGCCGATACTGCGTATGCCCGCCGCTAGCTCTCTATGCATAGAGTTACGGATCTCGTACAGCGGGTTTCGGAGAGCTTTGTGGGACAGCCGGAAGCAGTCTACAATAAACTCCTTTAAATCTATTAAATGCGTCATCATCTATTGCTCCGGTGCATGCAGCCGTCGTTCGTTTAGACAGTCGATCGAGGTTCGGACTGTACTGGACTGGTTTTGTGAGGCCGATTTGCGGTTCCGGCCATGCTCTTCTGCTAAGTTGATTCGCTCGTTGCGCTTACTTTAATTCTTGCAAGACAGAAGGTGTCTTCTGTAGCGCTTCCCATGACGTGCCGCGAGAACGGGAGAGAAGGTAATTCAACGGCCATGGTGGTGGCACAACGTACGCGACAACGTACACGAAACCACCGACACCGGGGAGGAAAGATTGGTTCATCGAAGACAATATTACGCGTACCGTAAGCGGTGATCGAAGGAAGCTGCGGTGGCTGCACCCGAAAGCGCCGACGCCCGAGAGAACAGATTCGCTATCCGAACATAACAGTGTGCGGACAGTCGCAAGATTGGAATTCCCACACTTCGCTGAGTCGGGCGCCGTTCGCAAAGCCTTCTCATTCCTACCCGTGCTCGTTCCTAAGCCGTGCAAGCGCTAAATGCTAGTGCATTTCGTCGAGAATCAGCGTAGCGCACGCCGTGGGCGTGTCTCTGTAAGCCTTAAACCGTCTTTATCTACTTCCGTTGTTTCCTGTTCAATGTGTTCCAGCTGGGCGTGAATTCCAAATTTAAGTCAGCAGAATACCACAAATGTACCAAGCCAGCTGCAGCCAAGATGTAGCCGCTGATCACCTCTATGGACAAGGATGCTCATTTTAGTCTAGCATATCTCAAAGCTTAATATCGTCCGAGCTCCTAATTTTCTCTATTATATCATACGCAGGTTTCTAGGATATTTGATGATGTTACCTACTGTTTACAGTGTATACACCAACTCATGTTTACAAACAAACCGGAGCGCCCCTAGCGGACGCCACCGGCGCCGCGCATGCGCGGTGGGCGGTGGGCAAGAAGCCCGCCGTCGCCCATAAACAAACCATTGAATTGCGTTGTAGTCGGCGTCGATGGGAGTCCCCGTGCTTTTTTTCGCGCTATAATTGTTGATTCTACGTCCTCCTAACAATTTCTGAGTACTTGAGCGGCTTCAACAAAATTAACGAGACAAAATTTTGCGTGAATAATGCGACGTGCGGCGATTCATTTCACGTGGACGCCGCAGATTAGGCGCCAAAGCCTGACTCCCACAATGAGATTCTGGTCGCTATTTTCAGTTGCGACGTCGCTCGGGCTGCAAAAGCGTAGACCGTAGCTGAGATGGTGGACGTCGATACTGAAAACCGCAAGTAGAATCGGGCCTTACAAGTCAGTGATGGCCACTTGTAACAATGATCAACATCTTCTTGTATCCACCGTTTACACTTAGCCTACTTACGCCAAGCAACCTTCAAAAGTGTTTTAAGGCCTGCACATAGTTCTAGCAATTACCGGGTCAACGTTTGGTTTACGGGCCGCTGTCGTTTGAACGAGCTGACGACAAAAAGCAGACAAGTTTGAAAGAGCAGACGACAGTTCTAACGCATGCGCAATGGAGTCCGGGCAAGAAGCACCGCGTCACGCGTCAACAAACCATTGGTATGTCACGTTGTCAGCGTCTGTGTGAGTCTGCATACTCTTTTTCGCGTTAGAATTGTCGATTCTACGTCCTCATAGCAATGTCTTACCACTTTAATCGCCTGAGCGAAATTATCAAGGCTCATTACGCCGCTAAACTTTGCGTAAATAATTTCATGTGCGGCGATTCATTCGCATGAACGCCGCAGAATGGACGCCAAAACCATGATGAGATTCTTTTAGCTTTTAGGTCGCGACGTCACTCGTGCTGCAAAAGTGTGGAAGGTAGCGGCGATGATCGACGTCGATACTGAAAATCGGAAGCGGGAACAGACCAAGCGTAGCAAATCGATGATGGCCACTGGTACCATTGATCAACATCTCGTATCTACTGCTCACACCGAGCCTACTAATTCTTTTGAGGCCTGAAATTACTTCTTATTGCAATCACCGGGTCAAAGATTGGTCTACGGGCCGGTTTTTGTTTGAACGAGCAGATGACAAAAAGCAGACAAGTTTGAAAGAGCGGACGAAAGTTCGAACGAACAGGCGGCCGTGTGAATTTGAAGACGCACTGAATCCCTGGGTGGTCCGACAACTTGGCGGTTTTCTATCGTTCATGTTGGAACAAAACAAATAAATCTGGCGACCACAAAGTGTTGCACGCACAAGCAATCGTATTGCGACAGCGTCTGGTATGCCCTCTTCACGGCTACTATCCACGTTCTCGGACGGACGGAGGGGCCAGAAACACATGAAAACTGATCTTCAAACCTTTCCAGACTCTCTTGGTACAGCCCCCGTCGGAGCATTTTGACGAAAAAGTATGTTTTTTGTCTGGTTTCTCCCAAAAGAACACAGGAATGCATGTCTCGCACGGCGACTTCCGCCCACCGCCCCAGACCGGAAGTGCGCCCGACGCGCCACCAGCGCGGCGTGACGTAGGAGAGTTGAGTTGGTGTATATGTGCCAACAAATGTGGGTTATATGAAACACTAGATCAATAAGAATACTTCAAGTAGCACTATTTGTAAACTATATTTACTGCCCTGCATCTTATATCAGTGGGTAGAAGCCTTAAACTTTAGACACTGTATGCATATTCAAAACCGTAAACCCCCTTCGAAAAAACAAAATGCACTGCCAATGCATATCTATAGTCATGCCAGAGGCCGGCAGCAACCTGCGAATCTTAGTTTTTACAATTAAATCTTAAGTCGCTTTTAAGGTAGTCGTTGTCTGTGTCGCTCACATTTGGTTACTACTTCTCTTGACTCATCATTGGGTTTAGAGATAGTCTCTAACTGTCTGGGAGGTTGAACTATCATGACCTGAGATGTTGGACAGTCGTTGTCGAAAACGTTTGGCTATCTTCATGCCTGACCTTCTACTCAAAGGACCCAAGATGGGCAGTTCTCACCAAAATGACACGCGAACGCTGCCTTATCTCATGGGAGCACAATCCTTGCGGCAGCAAAACTGCAACCATGATAACTTGCTCAATGAAACAGCCTGAGCAGGGGACACCGCTCGCTCAATGTCGATATCGTGTCTCGACCGCAAACACTGCAACAATTTTCCGGCCGACCAATTTACACTTATCGCCACCTTTGCGCGTGAATGTTTTTATGCAACTGCCGAGACCGTCAATGATTGGGGTGACTCACTCTGTCGGTATTTCATCTCCCTAATATATGAGCCATCAAATAACTGGCCGATTGTCAGTCACTTATGACTGACAATGTCACTCATACATAGGGTGCTCCGTTTTTTGGGGGCTTATTTTTCTTCAAGTTCTTTTTTTTTTCTTTTTGTGTCTGTGTGTGTGTGTGGGGGGGGGGGGGTGGAGAGGATATATCTCCCCACAGATTCGGTGTTTTTCGGTGTCAAATTTTGGCGTCGGAAAAAATCGGCGTGTATCGATGCTTACAGTGAAGACAACCGGACCGAGGTATGGGTTTGTCGAAGCTCCTAAGAACATGGAAAATGAACTGGTACCAACAACAAATGAGAACAACATGAGAGGTGTAATTCCTAATTAAAAAAATAGCCTCGCAGATAGTTCAGTGGGCCTTGTTCAGGGAGTATTACAAAATAAAACTGCAGATAAAGATTTTCTTTCCGCGAAGCCTTAAAGAACAATTCCAATTAGGTTTTAATGCGAGAGCATTAACTGTACCATGGAGCGGACCGACGTCATCAGCTTTGAAGCCGCGCCAAACGGCACCTTCCCTGTCGCAATTGAGTAAAGCCTGTCGTGTGTAGCAGAAATTTGATGGCTAGGCTCCCATTGGCTGGCACGCGTCATCAAGGAACGAGTCTCCCATTGGCCCTCTCGCGGTGTAGTTAAAAAAAATAACGCCACCAGAGAAGCCATCTTCATGGTGGCGCAGCGTACGCAACGGCCCGGCCGCCGGTAAGAGGTCCGGCGGTGCAGGCCTGGCCGCACAGCCCGCTCGGGCAAACTCCGGAGAGGCTGCACGACGGAGCTCAGCGCGGCGCGGCCACTTCCCGAGAGCGCGCGCTCGGCCGTCGGCTTCTACCTCGGCAGACGCGGCCGCATCATTACGCCGCAGACGAACTAAGAGAGCAGAAGAACGACATTCATGCTTTCGCATTCACAACTTATAACAAGTGCTTAGGTGTCCTCGGACGTTATTTTGTTTTTCTTCCAACTTTTATAAACCGCCTTGGGGGTTATTTTTCAGGATTTATAACTACTTACAGAAAACACGAACCTACGTAACGCAGTGCGACGGGGTGACGAAAAGCGTAGATCGCGGGCCAAGCAAAATTGCTGCTTTTCCCTCGTCTATTCGAATGCCACAAGAATAGCGCAGCCATGTAATAAAACACCGTTCATGTGTTTTGTTCAAGTTAGTGACAACTGTACAGTCTACGGAATAATTAAAAGAAGCATTTACGTAGACAGTTAATGCGGGCTGCTAGGAACACGTTGGTGCTATGCACTTCATTTTAAAGCGCAGCTCTTAGGCACCCGTTTTCGGCTTTAGCGGCGTCGCCGTCGCCGTCACCGTCGGCGTAACCTCGCAGTGCATCATGGGACGCGTGACGTCATGATGACGTCACTGATTACGTCATCAGTGACGATGACGATTGTGATGCCGATGACATCATCAGTGACGATGACGATCACCCTGTGAGGTCACGTGATTCTCGTGAGGTGACGGCGACGCCGCTCGGAGGGAGGAGTACCAGACAGGGTTTGGAGGTGAGGAGGAGGGAGGAAGGATATACCTTCCCCTCAGTGCCCTTCCCCTCATCCTCCTCAAGAGCTGCGCTATAATTCGGCGTTACAGGGAGCCGTAAACGGCTTTCACTTTTTTTAGACAAAATATAGAACAAAGCCTAAGGTATTTCCTCTCCCAAAAGCAATGTGGTTGTGGCCAAAGCGAATCCTGCACAGTTTCCTGAAACTGCATTGTCGAATGGGTATTTTTTATTGCTGAAGACTGTAATAACCTAGCAAACATGTGAAATGATTATCCTACGGTGTTGAACTGTTATAAGCTAATTCAAGTTAGAACCGAAATAGACAGAGTTTTGGGACTACCTGCTCACCCTCGAAACCGGCCTATCGTAGGCGTGGCCCTGTTCAACTGGCTCAACATGGGCGACACGGTGACAGGGGCACTTCTCCTCGTGCTCTCGGTGGCCTGCATCCTTCTGTGCTTCTTCTTAATAGTCAAGATGCTCACCCAGTTGACTAAGACCCACATCGTGAAGGCAAGTTTGTTTCTACGCGGTGTGTAAAGAATCTCCTCGACCGCTTCCCACTCCTGAAGCGGAGCTGACGCCAAGTCTCATTGACTGCCAGTGGGACGATACATCACCTTTGTTATTTCGAATGCTGAAACGATATAGCACTTCGAAACTTTAAACCCATGTTCCAGGGCAAAAACCGGGCCGCCAGATGACAAAATAAACATGCTTTCTGTGTAAATCTATAAAAATATTGGGCGCTAAAAAATTTACTTTGCACTTTGTTTTTAAATTTCTGTGAGGCGTTTGCTCAATGCGCGCTCACAACGACGGCACAAACTGCCACAAGCAACGTATTAACCTTGCGAGCGATCTACGAATGGTCCCTATATGAGCAAAAAAGCTCTGTTAAAGGGCCGGCCAAAACCCAATATCGGACATGCCTGTGTGTTGACTTTACCAATCTACAAAATATTTCTCATACCTTAAGCAGTATAGTCAGTGAAGGAAACGAGCCCTATCGTGCTCCTATGATCATGCCGCTACCGCGGAAAAGGTGATAAATACTCTTTTTCCCATAGATTCCCTAAAAAAAAACAGAAAACAAATATTGAATTGGAATGATGCACCGACATAAGTTGGTGCATCATTAAATAACTTTAGGACAGCAAGAGAAAACAGCCTGGAGTACAAAGGTGAAAGGAATGAAGGAGTTTAGAAACGCCTTCGTGTTACATGGAACCGACCGCCAACCTTTTCGGGTGATGTAGAAATGAGAGATCGATGACGGGGAAGCCAGCATGTTTGCACACAGGGCCAAAATATGATGATGATACATTTTGCAGAAAAAGGTGTCAGCAAGAATAGCCTGTACGCAGGGGCGGACGCAGGTATTTCTACAGGGGGACAGATGGACAGGGGGACGTCAGCTGTTGGTCAGCGTACTATATGTTTTCAAGCCCTAAATTTTTAGATATGAAGAATTCAAGAGGGGGACCAGGACATCCGAACCCCCCGTCTGAATCTGCCCCTGCCTGGACGTATACATGACTTGAACTGACGTTTTATCAGCTGCCATTGTGGTGACCTTGCTGCTGAGCACGCGCCTACTTCAGCGTACATTTGGCACCAGCGAAGTCGTTTCCTCCGCAAAGACACGTAGGAATGACAACCAGCTGGGTAATATGACGTTAACTGCATGCCATACAGAACTATATATGGCCTTCACCTGACGTCATCGTATTCTAACGCGACGAGAAACTGAGGGCAAACAGAAGAGACGAGAGCTCGTGGGGATGTCAGAACGCCGAGCTTTGACTGGAATGATTAGTGGGTACACGCAGGGCTAGCTAGATTTGTCTTTACTTGGACTTTAAAGGCGATCGATTGCCGAACGTCGGTGTCCAGCGTTGCGCGTTCGCGTTCGAACGCGTTCGAAGAGTAGGTAGAGACATATCCTCTTCTGTACTCACAAAGCCTGGCAGTTCGACGACGGAGCCGTAGAATGCCCGGTCGGAGATTTGGAGCGCGAGAGTCTGGTAGCAGAGTATCAAAAAGCCATTTCTCGGGGATCCTGGACGTCAGCGCACAGCTTTCGCAGCGACGAGGACCCGAAACACACTTGTTCGCTCGGGAGAAGTGTGTTTCGGCGTCTCGTCGCAGCGGGGTGCCAGTCACGTGGCTCTCTCCTCATTGGTTGTCTGCCGCTCCACCTTTTCCATTTCGGCGGCCGCTTCTCGTGACAATCTGCCAGGTTTTGTCAGTGTGTACGAGGCTATGAAAGAGACAAAAACAGTTGTATCTTTTTGTCTACCAGCAAGTACTTCCAACCAGAGGGTAGCGTTCTGACGTCCTCACAAACTCTCGTCACCTCCTCTCCCTCAGTTTCTTGGCGCATACTTGTTCTTACAGGGAAGGACAAAATCTGCAGTGCGAAATGCAACCTGCAGAGCAACGCGTTCAGCCGCAAGGTCACCACAACCGCCACTAATGTGACGTCAGTGCCGTCCGTGCATAATATGGCGCACGTTGTGGGTTTCCCCTTTTGGGGTACCTCGTAAAAACACAGTAGGTTCCTTCGGTCCGGATGAAGACGTGTTTATGGACTCAAACGTCACACGCTTGCCCGAGGGCCAACAATGTTGGAGATGACGGCGCTGTCTCTTTTGACAGGATCGCCAGTCGGAGTCCGCGCAGCCACTATTGACAGTATCACGGAGGGGGAGGATCAGAAAGGATAGAAAGGCTCCGTCGAGCAGAGCGCCCCCAGCGAGAGTCCTGCCCGTTTGTTTAGGGCCGTCTTATATAGCCTGCGGGAACGGAAGCGCCCGGGGTGGGTCGGATGTAGGTGGGCTCCCCAGAGGGGCGGACGCGTCCAAGTCATGATCCCGTGGGGTGTGCCTTAGGCAAATCACCCGAGGAGGGCGAGGGAAAGCCGTCCATAAGGGAATACGGCTTCGCCCTCGCATCTGAAACGCGCCCCCGCATGGCGACGTTACACGGCCTGCCTGAGCTAGGCCTAGATAGGGATGCGAGGAACACGTGGTTCCCACAACGTATACGCATGGCATGGCCCCGCGCAGAGGCTGACGGCCTTCATAAACCGGGACTTCAAGTTCCCGCTGTCGGTGCTGGTGGGCTACCTGAGCCTGCTGCTGGGCTGCGTCATCACCTTCGTGTTCCAGAGCAGCTCGGCCTTCACGTCCGCGCTGCTGCCGTTCGCCGCCCTTGGCCTGCTGGATCTGCGGCGCGTGTACCCGCTCACGCTGGGCTCGAACGTGGGCACGACGGCCACGGGCATCGTGGCCGCGCTCGCCGGGGACCCCGTGCACCGGAACAACGCGCTCCAGATCGCCCTGTGCCACACCTTCTTCAACCTGATCGGCATCCTCATATTCTACCCGGTGCCCTTCTTCAGGCGCGTACTAGGTTCTGCAATAAACCATGCCAGCTGATTGGACACATACGACCCATACGACCCATATTTCGTAATATTGCATGCAAAAAAGCTGTATGGAATATTATATAGCATATTATTGCTAAATGTTGTACTCGTAAAGCCGACGTGCATGGCTGGTACAAGCGGGGTTGGGCTGGCGATTTTAGCCAACGCCCGAGGCTTCACTCTGGATGAAGCCATCATCGCAGTCCGTCCTCGGCTATCAAATTAAAATCGACGAGTGTTTGGCATGTAGCAAACCTAGAAGCGTTTAACAAATGCGAAATATTAAGAAAAAATGTGTATTTAGAGTTTATTTACGATGGAAAAAATCCTGTTGTCTTAGTCGCGTTTAGAATCTGATTTCAATTTGCAGTATTTGGCTCTGCCGTAATCATCTTTGGCCGGAAAAATATCGTCATAAACCTTAAGAGCACAAAAAAAAAAAAACGGTTCCCATAATGCAGCGTGCGCTGTCCACTAGGCGGCGCACCTATAACGTGGACCTCCGGGGTTCGAATCCTGCCAAGGGTTAAAGTTTTGATTCTTCGTAGATATTCAAGAATGTTCTAGCATAATGATGTTAATGCCGGTAGTTTTCATAAAACAAAAAAAAAAAACAAAAAAAAAACTTTTGTGGCATGTCGTAGCTATAAAAGCAGCCGGCGTGGCTAAAGCACGTTAGTCTAACCCTAGTGTTAGATAGTGCCGCTTCGCCGATATCGATGCCCTCCACGCCGGTTTTTGTACATTTCGTTTGGCACGAGCTCGCCACATCAATGTTTTAGTTCCCGCACGTTTTTCCTCCACTTGTTTTTCGCGAAAACACTCCCGAGGTTTTGAGACAAATTCTCGGAAACTATAGTTTTTGCGTTAAGTACCGTAACCGTTGATTACCCGTGCATATATTTGGACTTTTGTCCCCGCTGTCAAAGTACCGCCTTTTTTGTTGGATGAGAAATACGGCTAATTAGTTTCCAACGAAGTCGGCACTGTAGGACCTAACTTCTTCGTTCTCAAGCTGCTTGCTGCGAGGGCTCTGCACCAAAAGAGTAGCCGCTCCCAGCTACAGACAAATCATCGCCGAGGAAACTAAGCAAAAAAGTCAAAAATGAAATGACGACGCGAGAGACAGCTTTCGAACGTTGCCGGTCCACCATGAAACTGTGGCGATTCATTTCCGCTGAGGCTTCACTTCCTACGAACTTCCCCAAAGTTTTATTTTTTTTTTCTTAATATTATTATTTCACGCGTTGTAGATCTTAAGTTGTATTGATGCAGCCGTCGAGGCAGTCGTGCACGCAGATATAAATTGACATTAAATTTTGCGCCCGCAATATTGCGGTCGATATAATGGGCACTTTTCGTATGTCGTTTCCGCCGTCTAGTTGTTCCTGTTCAACTAGTTATCCTGTTGAACCTGTTGATAACTAGCCTCTTCAACTAGTTATCATTAATGTATTACTAGCAACTCGTTATTGCCCAAGAATGGGGGTAGCACATAGCGTTCCGGCCGATTACGCTCAGCAGGCGTGAGCCTTGCCTGTCGTTTTCGTTATTTCTCAATTAACACAGCCTTCCCCAGAAATAGCTTTACATGCCCCTCCTACACTACACTAATGCGATTCATTTCACTTATATTTCAAGTCTCTTCGCCTTTTTTTTACGCGCAAAGTCGGAATTTCATAATCGAAGCGAGGTCAAACTTACTCCATCTATTTGGCTGGAATGCTAAGTGTCTTTAGTTTCGTGCCCCAACGAAGCCAGTCCCGTGGCCTTAGCATTTCACTTGCGAGTGCGCTATCCGCCGAGAGAGATACACCCGAATCGATGAGCAAACGGGCCCTGATCCGGGCAAACGCCGGCTTTTTTTAAAAGAGTGTGTTCGTCTAAAGCTCCAATCGCAAGTCTTGGGAAATCGTCTTGTGGCAACTCAGACAAAGTACATACTACGTTTATTATACTATTTTATATTGCACGCGAGTTGTTTCCGGGGTGGCATTTATTATGGCGGAACCCCTGTTTCTATTGCGGTAGCCGATGATGTCAGATAAAAGAGCAGAGTGCTTTTGGTGTGGCTAGCAAGATACCAAGCTCCCAATCATCTATAACCGTACAAAAAGAGTTCAACAAACGCGGCCAAGTGCCTTCCAAGCTTGCATAAAGCAGGGAGGGTAGAAATTGCAGAAAAGATGGAAGCGAGCTGGTGAACTTTCAACATTGTAAAACCCGAGACTCGAGTTTTACAATGTTGAGGGAGGCTTGTTCATCTATGGTTTTAAGAGTAACTCATTAATTATTAAACCCTAAAATTCGTTAAACGTCCAACTAATCGCAATAGATTCTACGATATCTTATAATCGCGATTGCAAACTATAGGTTCAGCCACTGTTTTAAGTAAGTGAAAGAGTCCGACAAAGCAGCCATTAAAGGGCTACTCCACCGATTTTTTCATTGTCTCCGATTTGCTTGAAATTTTGCTAAACTAACCAACAAACATCGCGAAAATAGTATCCCAAATATTAGGTCAAAATATTGTTTTTTCGCGAAGTTATTGAATTTACAGTTTTGGTCCTCACCGTGTTTTTCAAGCTCGAAGTCTCTACTGGCAACAATGAAAAAGTGACGTCAGTGAAAGGCAGGGGTTCACTCTTTGGGCTGTAGATTTTGTTTTAAACTGATTCGAAGCAGTTTCATAGTGTCAAATGAATGCTTGGGAAGCTCGCTGCAGTACCCGCGCTCCAGCACGGAACAAATGATTGGCATATTCTATTTCTTGGCTGCTTGCTCGACTAGCAAGCCTGCCTGCCACTGACGTCACGGCCCTGAAAAGCGCGCGTATATTTGAATGTTGGTTTTTGCATCATTTTCATTTGCCGATTTCGCAATAACTATTATGAATTTTGCGATTCTAAATAGCATACCGGAGAGAGTAAAGGCCGGGGAGTCAGAAAATATAGTTAGTTGAGGTAGCTCAAAAAATCGGTGGAGTACCCCTTTAAATGAGTCTTTTATTCAGGAAGAGTGTGATAGTCTAAAAGGTCCCGTTTAAGAGGAGGCCTGTGGTAAGAAGCCGGATGACCCTTTCTTCTTTCCATTCGGTTATCTTAACAGAATGTAGCTGGGACTTTGTTGCGACTTTGCGGGAGCGAAGCTGCAACTGGATGCATCGGTGGTTCTCATAGCTATACTACTGTAGAATTTTTATAAATTTATTTCAGCGCATTTTAAAATTCGCCTCAGCGAGCCCTATTCAACGAGTTATTGATCACCACACCGATATAAACCAGCATTGGTTGTTGTCAGGAAGTAATGTTTCTGAATAGCATCCCACGCGTTGGCTTCATGCGATCATCCGTTTTCAACAAAAACATGTTTTGTAGGAAATGGGTAATATTCATGCATCCTCTGTTGTCTTCACAAACTGAAGAATATAAACAAGGAGGGACACGAGTCCCTCGGCTTTATGAACAATGCACTGATCATGAGCCCTCGTGAGCCAAAGTAGCTAGGTGGTCTTATTACTTTAGCCCCTTTCGCATAAATAATAGCGGGAGTGTGAAAAAGGTGTTGTTCCTCTTGCAGGTTCCCCCTGCTGATCTCCCATCAGCTGGGCGAGACAGGCGGGAAGTACCGCTGGTTCGTGCTCTTCTATTTGGCCACCACGTTCCTACTTGTCCCAATTGCGGTGCTCCTGCTCTCGTTCCTTGGCAATGTCGTGTTCCCCATTGCCATGGCTTTAATCATCGGCATCTTCGGCATTATCGGCATCATCAACTTGCTCCAGGTACGCCTAGGCCTAAGATCACTTCAGCTGCCGAGCTGTTGTCGGTCGCTGCGACGCGCATTGCTGGAATATAGATGCAGATTGAAACCGTCGACTTGACTACTGTGATTAGAGGAAGTCTCAGCAACCCCACCTAAAAACACGGAAGATACCTAAGCACTTTTTAAGAGTTATGAATGCAAGAACATGAATGTCGGTCTTCTGTTCCCTTAGTTCGTCTGCGGTGTACTGGCTTGGACGGCCAGGTTTCGCTACTGCCAAGGTTGCGGCCGCCGACGATATAGATGCCTCAGGCACCACCATGTTCCTCGGCGCCGAGAGGAGCAGGAGCGGTCGCAACCCGCCCCCCCCCCCCCCCCCCCCCCCCGGCAACGCCTGACCAACACCTTCTAGAAATAAGGCCGTAGCGCTCCTAGTGGTTACGTCACAATGTCGAATACAGAAGGCCATGGCCCAACTACATGAGAAACTATATCTGGCACCGACTTGAAAGAAATGTTTGCATCGAGCGGCGCGGTGGTGTTTGTGCGCGCTTATCCGACATTAATATACGTTTTAACAGCGCAGTCTTGTATAATTTATTATATATATAATAGGAACGGTAATATACTACGTGGTACCAAGGTTGAAAGTACCAAAATTGTATTAATTATTATCGCCGCAACCGCTGGACTGCGTGCAGTCCCGCAGTAACTCCACGCTTTTCGAATGAAGCTTCTCCTATGAGACATTTTCACCCTCATACGGGCTCCGATTCTGGTAAATTTACGTTGCGTGTGAGATGCTTAGTGTCTGAAAAGGAACGCTGAGACATTTCAGAAGGGAAGGGAACCGAAGAAAAACCCGGTCATCGCCTCAGGGATCGTACACAAGGAAGAGATGGGTCGACAACGTTAAGCCTCTCCCCTCACAATGCCGCCGCTGCTCTCGTGTGGTTCTTTTCAGACTTCTTTCCTTCGACGTTTTTCCGTCTTCACCGCAGTCTCGGGTGTTTTTTTTTTTTGTTGTGTTTGCTTGATACTACGGCATTTATATGGATTCGCGGAACAAGTCCAGCTTCGGTTTGAGTGACATGTGTGGCAACTTCAGTCAAGGCAATCCGCTTTCCGAAGACGTTGCCATGCCAACAATTATCGCGTTCATTTAGGCTTAGGAATGGCCAGAATCGAAAGACAATCTAGAAAAATTCGGCAAGGTCATTGGTCATGCTCTGCGAGCAGTGAGGTAAGGCAAAGCGAAGGCCTCCTGCACCATTCGTTGTTGACTAACGCGCCCATTATTGCAGCTACAACGACATATTAGTTCCAAAGCGAGCGGCGCTCACTCACCGGGGCACCGCCATGTTTCCCCGCATCCCTATCAAACCAGTCACGTGATTAAAAAATCCCTCTCCTAGGTACTGCGGCTAACTTTAACCGCGGTTAGCGCTTCGAGCAAACGGGCCCAGGTGCGTACTAGGCTCTCAAGGAGGTAGGAATTAAACTTTTGGAGCCAACACGAGGCACTACCAGAGGTGAAGCCGGAGGAGATTTCTGGTTTGGAATGGCACGCCTCCTACGATGACCAAAAAAAGATAAACGCCATTGAACGGACTTGGGAACCCATAGGGAAGTTCCCACCGAACGTGACCTTGACTTCCGGCTTCGCTTGGGATTTTCTTGTTTGTCTGACTTGAGTCTGTAGGTTCTTGTATAATTTATTATTCCTATTCTTATTCCTACCTCTACGTCGGCTCTTTCGCCGTGCATTTTAATGGACGAAGCGCGAACAAAAGTTGTTCAAATTGAGGACTTATTGCGGATGGCTGATTTTTCCCAGCACCTGATGTATTGACGAGCCTTACTACAGAATTCTAGTCTTCCGGCCATCCTGAGGCTCATAATTTTTAAAGCATAAAATTACTTCTCACGGAACTTGCAATCCCAAATTTTCTCCGTCCGTCCGTTTTTCGGTGCATTTACCGCTAAATTTAGCAAAGAAATTAAATCGGTGTTCGGGTCACGTGACGTCCATTGATTTAACGTGACCTGACGTCGCGTGATCTATACACCAATCAAGTTTCCCCACACGTCAACGGGGAAATTTATGTTAGGTGATCTGATATCACGTGATATTCACATCGATTCAGTTTGCCCGCTAAAATTGGCGGGGAAATTAATGTAAAGTGTAAATCCAGTTTGCCCGCTAAATTTATCAGGGGAATCGACGTCACGCGGCCTGATGAACGGTAGCACATCAATAAAATCTCCGCACTAAAGAAAACTGACGTCACCTATGCACCCAGTTCTTGCTCAATGTACCGGGAAAATTTATCAAGATAGGATTTTTCACTCCCCTGAACGACGGTTTAATGTCTTCTAAATAGTTTAAAAGCGATTGCAGCTTAAGTACTGACTTTCATTCATCTTTATAAAACATTGATGCTAAAGGTAGCTGCCAAGAGATCGATCTCACTAAGCGTTCCACGCATGCGTAACGCCGCCATAACTGCAATTCGCAGGAAGCAGGTGCCAGTGCACGAGACGGCTCGTGTTGTTTTGTGCTCTGCTCGCGCAGACCCTGAGTGGGGTGATCGCGCGTGCAGAAAGAAGACAGTTCATACGATACATTCCGGCAGTGGTGACGCAAAGAAACTAGATGGTGAGATAGCTCTATTGTTTTTTCCCGGAGTGTGAGGCGAAAAGGCTGCTGGCATTCGAGTTTCGTTATCGAATGCGCGCGAAATTGAACTGGATTTTTAAGCAACTACCTTTGCAACCACGTGGCGAGTGCAGTTCAGCCGCCAGCTTGGCAGGTTTAAGGCCGGCTCACACATACAGCGGAGCACTCCGTTAGCGCTTCATGAGCGCTGGAAGCAGCGCTTATGTGGCAACGACTTGCGCGTGACGTTGCGCTCGGTTATCGCTCCAGTATAGGCACTCAGTTAGCGCTTCAGGAGCGCCTCAGTAGGCGCTCGGTTACCGCTTCAGCAGCGCAGTGTAAGCGCTCTCACGCTCGTTGTGCCGTGCTTGCTGCTGCGGAAGAGCGCGTGCACTCCGATTCCTTCTTGTTTTTCCTTTGGCATCGAAAGAAGAGGAAGTAAAAGAGCCGCGCTCCTAGCAAACGGTCGGGCGGACGATCCAGAGTCATGAACTCTGAGCGACTAATTGATTGGGTACGACCTCGTCGCTTTTTATTCAATATGCGTGACCCTGTGGTTTCAAAGACACGCAGTTACAAAATAATCACCTTCGAAAGAGCTCTGTGTCTCGGTCCCTCAGCCTGAGAACAAGGTTCGCCTGATACACGTCAGTATCTCGGTGGCGAAAGATTTCGCGCACCCAGAAGGCTGTTCTGGGCGTTATGTCATGTACACACATATGGACTAACTGCGCGTGTAAGAGCATTTGTCGCGTTTTTATTTCAGCGTCCCACACATCCACCATGGTACTGTTGATGCACACTTGACCACAGGAACCGGAACCGCAGTGCAAGCGCTAATCCGCAGCAATAACCGGCGTACAAGAAGCACTAATAAGGCGCTACTCAAGCGCTAACAAGGCGTTCTGAAGCACTAACAAGGCGCTACTGAAGCACTAACAAGGCGCTACTAAAGCGCTGACAAGGCGCTAGCGCTAATAACTTAGCGCTCCGCTCTATGTGCGAACAGGCCTTTTGGCTGTCCACTGCGGCATTGAGTCTCTTAACTTACTCTGACTAGGAGAAATGGTATTGCTGCTTGGATATAGAATAAATACCTCGTCTAAGGGGTTGCAGCTCATCACATACAAACTCGCCTCCCTTCTTCGCTGTCAAAGAGTGAACTGCGCTGATCTGCAACCTAATTTGCATCACATCATGAGAGCAATTAGCCCCAATTTTGAGCAGTGTGCTCACTGTACCATTAAAACGGATTAAATCTTCTGCCCGATAAGCCAGGGTTCTACTCTCACCCTCAACAACGCGCTATTCTCGCATGGTGCCATTAAGCATGCACAATTACTTATTTATCTATTTATTTATATAACGACACTGTAGACGGCGAAGGAGCCCAAGCAGGAAAGGATCATCGACAAAAAAAAAAAGCAGGATGCATGCGTGTCCTGCTTTAGATAGGCTTCGATTCGTCTATGGACTCATGTGGCCTTCTTTGGAAACTGCAATTTATGTAAGGATGGCGTTGTATCTATAATGTTTTTTTTAGGTCTTCTATGCCCACTGGTAATATAAGAAACTCCTGGCTTATTTTGTGCTTGAGCCTCGTGATTCGTTGTTCGGCTTCGGCGCTGCCGTCCGCTAATGACGCAATCTGGTTGGTTATAGAGCGGTAATGATATGCTTGGTACTCACCACGCCCTGTAGTTCCTAGGCAGTGAGCGACTATAGTGCGCTTGCTCGTGTAACTTTATGTGAATGCGCGTGGCAGTTCTTTATGTCCATTCATTTGCGCGTAAGAGATTTCCGTCCCGGTTATATCTGTGTCACTTGTGTGTTCCATATTCTCTTGTCTCAGCGCTATCCATTCACTCTCTTTCTTTCTCTCTCCATATTCCTCTTTACACAGCATACGATAGCCCGCGTAAACTATCCGTAAATCAGCCAAACATTAAGTCAAGCATACGCCTGGTACACCTAATATATTGCTGGGTTATGAATATTCTTTACGCAAAGGAATGAGGAGGGGCATTCAGCGCCTCTACATCTCACCGATATCTTTGACGAACATCCAGTGTGCACACTTCAATATTCTTTTCCTCCGGAACAAATTTTGCGACGTCCCCTGTCAACCTCGTTGCAGAGGAAAAGCCCCCGCCTGCTGCCCGTACTGCTGCGGAACTGGAACTTCCTGCCCCTCTGGATGCACTCGCTGGACCCCATGGACCAGTTCTTCTCCGTGCACCTGGAGCGCATCGGCTTTATGCAGAATTTTCTCAACGAGGTCTCCTTCAAGTCCGAAATCGTGTCGTCGGGGAAGTCGAGTTCCCCATAGCGCGCGGATTTGGGTTCCTTTCATTTCATTTTAATAACCTCAAAAGCATCCGAAGACACATTACATGAGAGGGGATTTGGAAATAAAAGCAAAAAAGTAATTGAACATGAAAAAATAAAATAAATAAATAAAACCAACAAGTAAAAATTAAACGCACCAAAAACAAAACGCTTATGAGCAAGTTCTCGCTTTGATGCAGTTTTACCAACCAAAGTTTACTCAAAGTGAATCACCTGTTTTTAAATGAAATGTAATCGGGCCTAGTTACAATATGGTCGGGTAGATTGTTCCAGTAACTGATGCAAAGAACTAAGGGAGAAAATAGGAAACGTTAGTACGTCACTAAAATAGTGCATCCTTGAAAGAATGATTTAATCTATATGATATAAAATCAGTAGCCCGGCAGTAAATTGATTGAAAATCAGATTCCGAGTAAAATACATCTTGAATAAAACACCATCGGCCTATTTTTCGTCGTTTTTTCTAGAAGAGGAAGATTTATGTTAGTTTTTAAAGCGGAGGCACTAGTTTCGGATTAATAATCACTGCATATAAATCTGGCAGCTTTGTCCTGAATAGATTCGGGCATCGAGATTAGGTACTTTTTGTATCGACTCCAAATGATGCTTGCGTATTCCAATTTTGGTAGGATTAATGTTTTCTACGGGAGTAGTTTTGTTCCAATGAGAGCTATATATAAAGTTCGTCTAATGAAACCAAATGTTTTTAGTGTGCTATTTGTAATTTGCTCGATGTGCTCGTTACATAATAATGCGTTTGTAAAACAGACGCCCAAATACTTGTACAAGTATACGTGTTCTAGGGGTTGTGTAAGTAATGACTACTGGGCGAGTGTATTCCGGTGGATGTTTGAGTTACGGACATTTCTTTGCATTCACGAGTATCAATGTCCATCTGCCATAGGAAACACTAGGAAGATATCGTATTTGAATCGCCTTGAGGAATATTGTGATCATTACGTGTATTACTTTTCCCGTGAATAGCGCAATCTTCAGCGAATTGTCGATTCAAATGATGACGGTAGGTCATTAATATATGTGTAAAACAATAAAGGCCTGAGTCCACTACCCTGAAAGAATCCGGATGCAACAGTAACGGGAGCCGATGTCGACTTGTTTATCTTTACAGGTTGTGTTCTATATAACAGAAAATAAAATATTTAGTTTATAACAAATGGGTGTATCTGAAAATGTGAGAGTTTTAGACGAAGGCGATGATGAGGAACAGTGTCAAATGCCTTGGCGAAATTGATAAAATATGCATATATATGTCTGAGTTGTGAGATGAGTATTAAAGTAAAGGTCAGTAAGAAATTCGAAAAGCTGGCCAGTAGTGAAATGACCATTTCTACAACCATGTTGGTTCGTCAAGAAGTTAAAAGCGGCGAGATGGGAGACGACATGGGTATACAAAACTTGCTCCATTATATTGCATGGCACACTTTTTTTAGTGCGATCGGGCGGTAATTGGTAGGATCGGAATGATCTCTCGTTTTAAAAACAGGTGTAACTTTGGCACACCGCCAGTCAAGTGGAACTGAGCCGGAGTTAATAGATTCTTGAAATAGTTTGCTAAAAGTATTGGATCTTGAATTTGTGATTATTTTTAGAAATTTAACAGAAATATCATAAGCAGCGGGTGCACTGCTCAAAGGCAAGTCTCAGATTATTTTAACTTTGTCATTCGGGAGGAATAAGATGGGAAGCATAAGCGGGTAACACCTAAAGAAATTGTATTGAGGTAACGGAGGAGTTTCCTGGGTAAGTATACTGGAAAAAGGGTGTTTAACAAATTAGCAACATCAGTATGACTTAGCTTTTTGTTTTGTTGATTTCAAAATGTAGGGTGGTTAAGGCTTGACGATGGGTTTACAATTTTTTAGAGTTTCTGGGGGCTCAAAAAAAGAAAGCGCGGTAATCTCAAAAAAAAAAAAAAGTCCTTATTGGCATTTGTAACGTTTTCTTTTTTTTTCATTAGTAAGAAAATGATTTGTAAGATGACCAGTCAGTCAAATTCTTAGTTTGTTCGGCTTTTAATAACCTTTTCTTTTTGTTCAGTTGGCGTTTTAAGCCATTTGAAAACCACGGCGAAATTTCTTCGGTTGATACGGTGAATCTCGGGGTGAAAGCTGCCAATATTTCATGAAATGTATTTTTGATGATAAGCCAGTTTTCACATTTGAAAGTCGCGGTAAATTCTTGATTAAGCCTGGTTAGTGCAGAGGCTATCATTTCGGTATCCGCACGTGAATAGCAAATATTGCATTCTTTGATTTTTTTTATTTAACGTTTAACGTGACACATTCAGGGCCTGATATAAGAAACAAATCTAAAATGGCTCTTTCGCGAGTTGCTGATGTTATTACCTGGTGAAGCCCGTACACTTTCGAAGGAGACATACATTCGCGGCATTAACAAGGATTTAAACAGTTTAAAGCAGGTTTCAGTAATAACCAATCAAAACCAGGGTAATTGAGATCGCCACCGAGAACAATAGAATGATTAGGAAGTTTTGTCATTAACTCTCCGAGGCAGTTGTGTAGAAAGTCGCAAAATCCGGTTTGATCAGCGTGGTGAGGACGATAGAGACTCCTATGATTAAAGAACAGAAGTTTAATTGTACCTGAATCCACAATAATTCAATGTTAAAATTTATTACTATTTCTGTGCAAGATATGTTCTTCTTCGCGGAAATGAGAACACCACCTCTTTCCGTTTTACCATCATTGCAACAGATGTTATACTGTTTAGTCATCGAAAGTTCAGCAATATTTATATCAGGCGTTAGCCAGATTTCGGTTCCAATAATTATATTGGGTTGGGTTGAGGAAGTCTTTCAAATCCGTCTTGTTTCGATAAAAGGCTGTGAAAGTTAAGGCCCGTTCACACGACGCATTTTTCTCGCGCATCTAGTGTCGCGAAATGTAGTTTCGCGAAATGGTTGCGCCGTCTAAGCGAGTCCGAAAAGGACGCGCGCATCTAAAAAAAGTTGCGCGCACACCTCGCTTCTCGAGCGAGCTTTTGCTGAAACTTTGCCGAGTCCTGCCAATCACTCTGAGGGCGCCGCCAATGGCCGCTCAGAAACGCTCTCACGTGGCCTTTGAGGGGGGAGCGAGCTGTTTGAGAAGACTACTTCACTGCCGGTGTTGTAGCGGAGCCAAATCTGAAAAAAACCGAAACCATGAACGATGGATACTGCCGGCGCTTCCGCAAGCACGTCAAGCACCACTGAAGGAAAAGTGAGTAGCATATCGGAAAAAAATCCAGCGATGGACGAAGACAATTAGCGGGAGTTGGCGAGATTAGAATGGTGCTCATAGTAGGGAGTTTTAGAATAGCGCACGCTAAAGCTTTGCGTGCGCAAAGAATAGCGTCGTCGCCACTGCGCATGCTCCGAACGCAAATCAGATTCCGCGCTTTGCGTGCGCAATTTTAGCGTGCGCTATTTCTCGGAAATAGCGTGCGTACGCCAAGAGTCTTTGCGCTTCTCCAAGGAGGATTCGTGATGAGAAGTTGGCTAAAGCCAAGACGAGCAGTTGAAAAAAAATGGCGGCTTCCTGGATCATGTCAGCGGCTGCTTTGGCGGCGTCGTGAGTGCGACGTCGGCGGCATCCTCGCGACTGCGATTTTCAATACGGGACGACATTGTACTCGGTTTGGCAACGATCACCGACAGCTTGCTGCTTGTGACGCGCGAACACTTCTCGGCGAATGTACGATGTGCGAAGGTCAGTACACGTAGTACACGAGACCTCTCTTGCCGAGGCGACGCAAGCGGACACGACCGGTCAACCGCTCGCGTCGCATTCTCACGTTTAAACAAATCTAAAATAATACTCTGGACCGAAAAAACGTGTTTTTTCTTAAGTTACAGCACTTCGTGTTTGAAATAAAAATTGTGACTGTATCTTGGTGGCGTCGCCAGCGCGAGATGCTTGGGATTTTGCGTCGCGACGGAGAAACGCTATTCTAAAACTCTCTCGCGTCGCGTGCGCTAATACAAGCGCTAAATTTAGCGCTAGCGTGCGCTAAAATTGCGTACGTTATTCTAAAACTCCCTAGTGTTGTCCCGACGATACCGCTGGATAAGAGACCATCGAGTAAACTGAAACCAAGTTTGCTTTGTTTACAAGCGAACGTGAAACCTTGTGCGCTCTCTGAAACAGTTGGCACAGTAAACTCGGGGCAGACATGGGCGCCGAGAAGTAACAAGGTTAGGTACGTAGCGTTTCTGTGAATACCATGTGCATTGATAGGAGCTTTGGCAATGAATTGGCTGCGTACGGGCTCGGCGCCGGCACATGTCCTGCACGTACAGGTTGCCGCCTCAATCGGCTTAGCGCACACGCGAGATCGCTCCAAGTAGTGCAGTATGTGAAAAAAAAAAAAAAAAAAATTGACTGCATAAAATGCGCAAAGCAGGTCCTTACGTAAATAGCGGTCTGATTCGGAGCTCACTCAAAACGGTGCATCGGTGTGTGTATTTGTTGCTCGTGAAGCGGTACGTGTGAACGAGCACATTTCGCGAAACTTGAGTGTCGCGAAACTGTTGTGCGCCTAAAAGATGCATCGTGTGAACAGACCTTTAGCTACCATAAAAAATAAAGGTTTGCAGCAGTATTTGGACGGGAAAGTTATGTCAATCATTTTGCGTGGTGCCATGAATAAGGACCACTGAATCACTTTCGTGATGGTAAGCATACGATGAGTGTAACGTGCAGTTCATTGTATCTCATATTTTAACGGGTATCGCGTCGTTCTCTGCATTAGGAAGCGAATTCCCAGAGTTTCTTTCTGGCAAGTTGCACTTCACGTGAAAAATCTTTAGAGATTTGAACTTTGGGTGCCGTCACGCTCTTGAACTTCAAAAGAATTGTGAAGAACCTCATCTTTTCTTTTAGATCCTAGTAATTTCATAATGATTGGACGATTTACTCCAATTCGTTTCCGGCCAAGGCGGCGAGCTCTTTCAACTATCCC